TGTAGGTTGGAGGCCATCGCTCTTAGGTTGGAGGCCATCTCTTGTAGCCTGCTAGGCCCAAACCCCCCCGACCTACGTGGTCCTGGTGTAGGTGGGGCTCACCCTTGGTGTGAGTGCCAATTGGGCCTCGTCACCGCTTTTGCCATGGAGTTGGACAGATCCCGGCTGCCTCCGGGAGCGGCCCGAGAGATCCTGAGAGATTTCCAGCTTTGGGGGGATGACGGTGGCGATCTGGTCGAAAGACCCTCCCTGCTGGTTCAGGATTTGGCCATCAAGGCTGGACACAATCCATTTCTGTTTGAAGCTGGACATTTGATTGCTAGTGGTCGTGGCCTTCGGCAGTTGGATGTTGACAGTGTATGGATAGGGGAGGACCGTGACATGCCTCAAACCATCACCATGGACTGGAAAGCTGCAAGCAAGTCAGTGCTTCATGAAATGTGCATCCGTGGTCTGCAGGGCAAATGCCTCATTTGGAATGCTGCCCTGAACTACCCAGGTCCGGAGCATCAGGGATATCTGTCAATTGATGATGACACTTTGGCACTGCCTTTGAGCAAGCGATCCTCAGGTATCATTCCTGTCCTGCATTTCTTTGGTGGCGCTTGGGGCGGATGGAGCTATGCTTGTCAGCTTTTGGCAGAGAAAGATGTTCCGATCATCTCTGGTTGCATTGAGGTGGACTTCACGGCAGCTCGGCAGTATGCCTTGTCCCACAGGTGCCCGCTCTTGTCTGCTGCACAGGAACTTCCTCCTCTTACAATGCTATCCTTTCCGGGGTTCTGCATCCATGGAGATGTCTTTGAGGACAGTTGGTTACAGGCTGCTGCATGCTGGAATGTTGAGGTGATTACCATTTCGGCTCCCTGTCCCCCATGGAGTTGAGCCGCAGGACAAATGGGCTTGCACTCGGCTGAAGGTCAACTGTTCATGAGAGCCATTGGGGTTTGCAAGATCCTCCGGCCCAAGATCATTTTGATCGAACAGGCGGCGGCTTTTCACTCACACCCTCATCGGGTTTGGATCGAGAAGGCTCTTTGGTTTGCACGCTAACAACTCCGATTTGGTCATGTCATCGAGTTGAGTGATGTCATGCCGGTCAAGAGAGTTCGTTGGCTGGGGGTTGCATACTTCATTCATGAGCCGGATATTCACTTCCCTGCTCTGTCCTCGTGGTCAACTCAGAGAGTCAACATCTTGCTGGAATTTGACTGCATTCGTGCTTGGCCCCCCGGACATTCTGATGCGTCTCAAGGTGCCTGATGAGGCTCTGCAACATGCTCAGTCCTCACCTTTGGACCGCCCCATGAAAGCCCGTCGAACACACTCTGTAGAGGAGGCTGTGGCTTCGCACACCTTCAGATCCACTGACTCATGTGTGCCTACCTTCATGGCCCAATATGGGAATCAGCATCGCCTACGACAAGAGCTTTTGGAGCATCGAGGCTATTTTGCTCATTGGCTCCAGACTGTGGACGATGACACGTATAGATTCTGGCATCCAGTTGAGATCGCACTGATGCATGGAGCCTGGAGTGGTTTCTGGACTGACCATCAGTTTGAGCAGAACTGGAAGGGATTGGGCAATCAGATCGCAATTCCACATGCCCTGTGGGTATTGATTCAGGGCTTGAACATGTTGAAAGAGCGTAACCTGCAGCTGAACTGGCCGGAACTGTTGGCATACTTTGATCAACATCGTCTACGGGCCTCAGATTTGCACCAAGAGATCTTTCCATCAGGATCCATGTGGATGAATCGACACACGCGTTTCCTCCTGCATGAGGACCCTATTCAGCATTTGTTTCAAGATGACAGGAATCAACTCCCTCGTGATCATCTTTGGACGCCAGAGTTGGGGATCCTCAAACTCAGCTCTTACATTGAGAAAAGGGGAGATTGCGTTGGACTTCATGGTCTCCGTCAGTGGAATCCAATTTCCATTTTGGCATCACAGCACGACCATCTGGAGGCCACAGCTCCTGTTCGGCTCATGTACAGGTGCCGGATCATCTTCCCAGGACAGCCAAAGCAGTTCATTGTTGAGCATGCTACTCCTGTGAAAGCGGTGTTGGCACTATGGCGGGGAGCTTTGAGACTTGAATCAGATGCTTGGGAGTTTGATGATCAAGATCGTCTATTTCCTGTGGCTGATCTCCCGGCTGAATGGGAAGAGGATGAAGCTGGCATTTGTGTTCCAGTTCTCCAACAGGACATCTTTGACTTCCGCTACATCCATCACCGTGAAATGGTGCAGGGCCTGCTCAATGTTGAGGAAGCAGACATCTTATGGCATGATCAATTTGATCTGGTCCCTCTGCGTGCCAACGTGGTACAGGGCATGTTCCTGAGCTCACATAGCTGGACACACACCAAGCTCTCCTTGTCCTCTACCCAGATCCTTGAGGAATTCTTGGAAGCAACAGGTCAGTGCCATTGGGATCACCGGCGTGATGTGCACTCCATCGCTGGTACTGGCAGCATGGCGGGCTGTCAGCTCTGGGCCACGATTTGGGAGTCCTCTCTCACGAATGAGGGCCGAGCCTCTTTCCACTTGGAGGTTTCGAGCGATCTCACGGAGAATACCTTCCAGGTTGACACCAAGATTGGTACGTTCACTGCCATTCCTCCGGGGGCATTTCAGTTGTGGTGGGCAGTACGAGCTGTTCGCAGCACATTGGACTGCTTGAGAATTTCCTCTGGTATTTTTGTCGCCTTCAAATGGTGCAAGCGACTGATCTGGGAGGGGCGTCTTTCTCCTGAGATTGAAATTGCAAAAATCATTGCTTTGCTTCAGCAGCTCTGGATGCCTGTGATTCGAGGTGAAGAGATTCGGTTGATCCATGGATTCTCTGCTACACGGCTCTCTCCAGAACAGCAATTGGGCTACCTCACTTCCTTGGCCCAGCAAGGAAAGGCCTATGTCCTCCACATGGTTACTCGCATTCAGGGAGGAGGTGGTGGTGGCCGCAATCCACAGATCATTTCCCTGAAGAATGAAGTGGCAGGCACCCTGCTTGACTTGCAGTATGACCTCAATTGGATCTCTAAAGCGGTGGACAGTCTCTTCAATCATCTGGGCCATTCTGCCATTGCGTGCTATGGCTGTCATTCAGGCAATGAAGCAGATTGGGTTGGAGATGCCACGAAAACGGTCGGGTGCTTTGGATAGCCAGAGCTCATCCAGGGAGATTCAGCTCTCCAAACGGAAGCCACCTGAGATTAACCTCTCCACTGTCACGATCATGCAGGGCTTCCTTCTCAATGAGGATGACTCCAATGCGCTTCAATTGACGACTTTTGTGCCTCAATCCTCAGGTGTCTTCCTTGCCCATTTGGAGCAGGCCTTGCCTTGGATCCGGGAGAACTCCATTCTGTCCAAGGATGAGCTAGGCATCATTGTGGTGACACAGAAGCAGGTTGATACATCTCTCAAACATCAACGAGTCACCTTACCTTGTGAGATCCCAGGGGCTGACCCCATCATCTTGGCGGGCATCCTCATCCAGTTTGGGGAGAAACAGCTCAAATCCGTGGAGGGGGCACACCGATTGAGTGACGCTTGTAGGTTTGCGCTTGTAGGTTGGAGGCCATCGCTTGTAGGTTGGAGGCCATCGCTCTTAG